TCTGTATCTATTAATTCGGTGGACGAATGCGGATTAATTTTTTCCAATCCATCCTTTCGGCAGGTGAATGACGGATTAGAAATTTTTCGATCGCAATTGATCTGCGGACACCCCTAGATCAAATAAGTTTATTTTTTTTAATTTTTTAATTTTTTATTTATTTATTTACTTATTTGTTTATTTTGCCATACCGTAGCAATGGATATATAGATATATGTTTTCACATCATTTGTGACACGTATTTGTGAGGAGAGGTGATCTTAAAATATATCTCCATTGGTTGTTAGGATAGTGGTTGATAGTTTGACCGACTTTATTGATAGATTTGATTTTCAGCTCATACTAAAAGTTTACGTTGCTATCGGATTTGATGTGATTGGATAACTATACAGGACATTATATAAATCATTATCTAATGTGATTGATAATTTGATTGCTATCGTCACTTGATTTACTTAATTGAAAAATTATTTGGTACTCCTCCAGTGTCATGAAGCGATGTTTTTTATTAATTACAATATATCATAGTCCTCCCATTCTCTGATCATTTAATATAAAATTGTAGATCTTATATTTTTTATCAATCACAATATTATCGGGGCGTTACTTGACGGTTTGACGGTGTCCCAAAAGAATCAATAACTCCTCGACTTAATTACTTTACGTCATCTTGCATTTTGAAGAAATAATTAGAGATTAAATTCATTTTGGTTATTAAAAATAGGGATGTTTAAAAAAAAAAACCGGTCTAATTGAGTTTAAACTGTTGATTTGGTTTGATTTTTATTAATTTCGATTATGATTGTAAAAATGATAGAACCGTTCAAATTGAGTTAGTGACTTTTATTTATATTTTTATATGTAAAAATTAAAATATAAAAAGTGTTTTTTATTTATTTATAAGAATTGAATGCTAGTCTTCATTGTGAAATTGATACTCTAATAACCAATTTAATCAAACTAATTAGTAATAGTTTGTTTACTAACATAAAGGTTTAAGTGAGTTGATTTTTTGACCTTTTGGTTATTTTGGCATCTATCTAAAAAGTCTCGTTTGGGTTGGATATTTTTGACTTGTTTGACTTTTATGAGGGAAAAAATGAAATGATTATGACTTAGATGTGATATTTTATCTTAATGATTTTTTAGTTTATTTTGTCTTTTTGTAACTATTTTAACCTGATAGCCTCATGCCAAACGAGGACAAAATATATATCATATTTATTGTTATATAAAATTTTAAAAACTGTAAAATTGAACAAAACAAAATCAATTTTTGTGATTTGATTCTAGTTTGGTTTTACAAGTTCAATGGTTCGGTTGTGGTTCTAATTTTTCTGAAAATGCAGAAACCGATTCAGTTCATGGTTTACTCTAAAACCGGACTAATATGATCTGTGTACACTCCTAATTAATTTATTTATTTTTCTTTCTACTTTGACCTTGAATGTTTCTAACTTTTTCTAATTACTCCCAAAACAAACTACCTTCCAATTTTGAATGGAAAAAAGTCACTTTGGTAGTTATGTTATGGAAAAATAAATTATATAGTGTTAGAGGTCCCAAATTTTCTACTAAACAAATGACCAAATGTCTCACATGGGTGTGGGGTCCACAAAATTGCGGACCCCACACTCATGTGAGATATTTGGTCATTTGTTTGGTAGAAAATTTGGTGTCTCTAACATTATCCAAATAAATTATATTAAAATTTATTTGAGCTTTGAGAACCTGTATTTTGAATTACTAGAAACAAGTTTGACAAAAATATTTACCAAAAAATAAAATTTTGAATTTTAAAAAATATTTTCACCCCAAAAAGAGATCGTATGAAAATAATTAGTTTTTTTTAGTTTTTTTTCACTAATGTAATTTTTTATTTTTTTTCTTCAAAAAATAGATTATAAAAACTCAATCAAATAGAGTGTTCGAGTGTATATGAACGGCGATGGCCATGGTATAGAGGTGTAAAACAATGAAGGAATGGGACAAATATGAGCGATGGAAGTGAAGAGAGGTGTTAGAGGTGGAAGTGAAGAGAATTAGAGGTTGAGATAGACGAATGCTATAAAAAAAATAGTGAAAGTTTGGAGGTGAATTTGCATTTTAAATTCTGGGTTTTAAACCTAAACAAAAAATAGTTCTGGAAATAAATTAAAAAAAAACACAAATCAGTGAGAAAAAATATTTTAAACGTTAAGTAAAAAATTGTAAAATTTAAGAGACAAATTATAATTTATCGATTTTTATGTCATGTGATGCCAAGTGAAATTTTTTACTTAAAATTAGATGGAAGTCAATTTTGAGATTAATTTTTAAAAAATCACAAACATATTAGTCAAAATTTGGGGGAAAAAAAAAACAAAAAAAGGGGAAAAAAAAAAAAAAAAAGTCAAAATGAGGGGTCGCATGAGATAGACGTTACATGTCACGCATGCGCTCCAAAACCTTTTCCACGCGAGAGAGAGAGAGAGAGAGAGCGAGATTTAACCGTAATGCCATTATGAGTAATTTCTTTCAAATTCGACGGCAATTATAATTCTAAAAAAAAAAAGGTAAATTATAAATATATTTTTTGAGATTTAATTAAAATATGAGTAATTTTATTTTTACATATTAATTTTTCTTAGTACACATATTTAATAAATATTTTTTTAATACATTTATTATAAAAATATAAATTCTCAATACATATCTCTATATTTCAATATTACCTTCATTTTCAATTTTAAAACCCCAAGTTATGTTTGGTTTCAATTTTTGAATTTTTTATGAGAAAAATATAAATTAATTTGACAAAAATAAATATCAAAAAAATATTTTCTAATTTTTTAATTTTTTTGTCTCTAAAAATATGAAACAATATTGAAATAAGAAGTTTTTTTTTAAAATTTATTTTTGAAAACATATTTTAAAACTATACCAAACAGAGTCTAATTTTATGGTATTTTAGAAATAGGGTTTGAGTAGAAGAAGATGGGGGCATTATGGTATTTTTATTCTAGGACAAAATTATATTAATGAAAATTTTCATTAAGTGTATGAACTGAGTGGAATTAGAGTGTGGAAATAGAATTACCCCTTCTGTGACTCTGAAAATTACATTTCACCCCCTGAGATTTCTAATTTCATAAAAAATCTCTCATTTTATTAATAAATCATCAAATCAATTAACAATTTTTAATAATATTAGAAATATATTTTAATTATTAATTTTATTATTGTACAAGAAAGTAATTATAAATTTTATTTTTTTAGTTAATTATGTTAAATAATTTTTTTTTGACAAGGAAGTATTTGTAATTTTCAAAATCACAAGAGACAATTTATACTTTAAGCAAACCTAAGGAGGTGTATTTGTAATTTATCCTTCTAAAAAAAACCATAAAGTAAACGATTGCTACCATTAGCACCTCACCAATTATTTTAGACCCATCATTTCCTTAGACTCCCATTTATAAATTCTAAAACCCTTAAAATTTCTTTTCTCTCTCCAAATAATATCAAAATTATATTTGTGAAAATATTCCACCTATTCAATTAAACACACACCTCCACACCCCAAAAAGCCTCTTTCCCAAAACCCCTAACAAAACCCACGAAGGTGATTACTACTTCATCTCCACATACTTCTTCATGACATGAGAAAATAAATGTAGGTCTTTTTTGTTGTTGATTTAAAATTCTCCTTTTGTGGATTATACGATTTTTATGAGTTTCGGTCATCTGTTCCCAAACAAATAAGAAATGTTCGGTTACCTGTTCCAGAACAAATGAACAATGTTTGGGCCTATTTTTTCAAATTTCGGCCATATGTTCGGGAGTTCAATCCGGAAAAAATGACGAGCAATTTTTATTATCTTTGTCATTTTTTATCAATAAACTTTCCTTTATAAGACCAATCTCCTCTGAGCTAAGAGCACCATCAAAGTTATAAATGTTATCTGTGCTTTTGTTGTTGTACTCCTCTCATCTTATGGAGTTGTGATTGTTCAAAAAAATTTCACTCATTGTTATTGCTAGAAAAGTGTAGGTAATCAAATGGTTGCCACAGTTACTGTTGAAATATTACCGTCAAAGAGTTTTCAAGGTTTTAAGAGTTTTCAATGTGAGATTTGGGGAAGATAGATGAGTGGTGATGGAGGTAGGTGCTCTAATAAACTCTAACTTATGATGTAGTGGATGTTGTGAGTTTAATTGTGGGATGGGATGTCCCAAAATTATTAATAACTTTTTTGATAATTTCATTTGAGGTTATTATTGTAATAAAAAAAATTAAAAAATGAGAAGGTCCAAAATAATTAATGGGATGCTAATAGCAGCACTCAAGTAAACGTGCTCGTAGCCCCAATATAATCACATGGAAAATTCTATTATACACATCTTATATTAAATGTATTTTTAGTTATGATTAATTTTTTCCCCTTTGATTATGACATTATTTTAAGATATTTAATTATGGCTTACTTGTGTTTAGTTATGACTTTTTTTTTTTTTTTTTTTTAATTATGGTGTATACTACAGTATTTTCCCAATACAATAGACACAAGGGTGCATGGTGTGATTCGATACAATTTGATAGTAAAATTATAAATAAAATTGTGAATGACATGTTGACAATAATCAAATTGAAGTTTGAGCGATTTCAATTTGTTAGTTGATTAAAAAATAATCTTAAATAATTATCAAGTATTTACATAATATATAACACTAATTTATATAATAATTTTCATATATATATTGTTGACTAATTATATATACAACAGCGCTACATACACCCACTGGGGGTCGCGCCCCCAGTGACGTGGCGCGCCCCCAGTGACGTGGCGCGCCCCCAGTGGCTGAAAACTTTAAAAAAAAAAAAAAAAAAAACAGTTTTTTTTTTTGGACCAATCCGGGGCCGACACCTCACTGGGGGTCGACCCCCAGTGGGGGTATGAAGCTTTTCTGTTATATATATATAACATTAATTTATAATAAAATGTGCATTCTAAATCTCTATTGCGTTGATTTTTATTTTGATATTTTATTAGAGATAAAAAAAAGAAAAAGAAAAATTCTAATATACATCTTTTTAAAAATAGTATACCATATGCTGCACCATTAGTTATATCATTTTCTTCTTTAATTTATGACAAATTTTCTTCTTTAGTTATGACATTATTTTAATTATGACTTATGAATTCTTTAATTATGTCTTATGTCATGTTTAGTTATGATATTTTTTTTTCTTTTTTTTTTAGTTATGACTTATAAAATTGAAATTATTTTATTTTTCTTGTTAGTTATAAAGTGTATATATGGTGTACACTCCTTAAAAGGCGTGCACTATATGCACCTTACAAATATAAAATAAAATGATATAATTTTATACTTTTTAGGTCATAACTTAAAAAAATAGAGCTTTTTTGATAAATGCTCTTTCTAAGAGTCTTATTTCATCAAATTCATATTCTTTTTTATTATTCCATTAGGTTCTATTTGAGGTAAGAAGACCAAAACACCCTCAATCTCTCCTGCCCCCAATAATGTTGATATTTAATGTTGATTGTCATTATGTTTTGGTAGTTTCTATGACCATTCCTATTCCCCATATCTTCACTCTAAAAAAATACATTAACTACAAACCACTATTTAATGTTGATATATATTACGTACAAAACATAGTTCTTTATTGATTGTCATTATGTTTTGGTAGTTCTTATGTATTTAAACGTTAACTGTACGTGATGACGTAAATGTTCACATCAGATGACGTGAATGTGAATGTTCACATCAGATGACGTTGTGATAAAGGTGATGTTAAGGTTTACATCTACATTGCATCAAATTACACGACCACAAGCCTCAACCTTCATTTGAATATAACACATGATTGTACATGATGACGTGAATGTTTACATTAGATGACGTGAATGTGAATGTTCATATTAGATGATGATGTTGTGATAAATGTGATGTTAAATGCTTTTCCTGGCTCTGTTATTTCTTTTCTTTTCTTCTGCTGTTTTGCATGTATTTCCATTTCCGATGTACCGAAAAAAAGATAAAGGTGATGTTAAGGCTCACATCAGATGAGAGAAAATGTTCACATTATTTTTAATGTCTTGTCAATTAAAAATATATTCACATCAGATGAGAGAGAACGTTCACATTATTTTTAATGTGTTGTCAATTAAAAATATGTTCACATTATATAATAATATAAAATAATATCAATGTTATTTAATTTGTGTATGAAATTTCCTATGTGTTGGTCCTTTCTTTTCTCTCTCCTCCCCCACATTAAATATCAACATTAAATATAAGGGTAAAAGAGTCTAAAAAAATAGAGTAAATAAATAAAAAAAAAGACTTTATGGAATAAAAATATAAATACATGGGACTAAGTGGGTTAAAAAATTCCTTCATGGACTTATTGGATTAGAACATTTCTCAATGAGATTTATCAATAAAAATCACTTAAAAGAATAAAAAAAGTTATACTCAAAATCTCAAAATAATGTCATAACTAAAATAATAATAATAATAATAATAATAATAATCATAATTAAAAAAGAAAATAGAATAACTAAAAATGTATATGCTATAGGGGTGTATAATAGAATTCTCCTATAATAGAGCGGATTGATTTTGAAGGAGATTATAAATTTTAGGGTAAATTACACTCACCTTTCTTGGGGTTTTTGACAATTACAGGGATCTCTTCTATAGTTTCAATTATAACAGAAATTTCTAACATTGTCAAAATTCTTTCCTCCCTTTAATTTAAGCCAAACAGTGTTAATTTGGTTATGCATGACCATAATACCCTTTACACTTAATACCCTTTAATTGTAATTTACTATATATATTAAATTATCATTTTATTTCTCACAATTTTTTTATTTTTGTATTTCCTTGACTTTGCTTTTTTTTTTTCTTTTTTTTTCTACTATAAGTTTTGAACTTTTATAAGTTAAAAATAAAATAAAAAATCATCCATTAATGAAATTAAGAAAGAATATCTATGTTTCTTATCTGAATTAATTTTGAGATTTAATTTAATAAAAATAATTTAAATGAAAGAAACAAAGATGGAGATATTCATTTTAGATGTAATAAATAACAAATTATTTGATTATTTTATTATTTTCAAATAATTTATTTCTTCAAGTAAAATTCTATTTTAATTAGATGTAAGAAATGACAAATTAAATAGTTTATTATTCTCAAATAATTTCTTTATCTTTAATTCCCTATCATCTAATTTTAATTTATTGTAGTGTGATTAGATATTTTTTTCACTTTCATATTTATTTTTAAAATTTTTATTTTTAAGGTGAGAAATATTGACTTATTTTTTTAATGATAATTAAAAATTCAGAATAAGATAGGATTGGGAAAAGATAAAATGATAATTATATATATATTTATGAGGTAACATTTGGTAATTTTTATAAGTCAATTTTTTTAATTATAAATATGAAATGTTATTATGTTTATTTTTCTTAAAATACATTTAATACACAAATATGTTTACAAAACAAAAGAAAAATTCATGTTTCGTAAGTTGCTATGTTATTGGGTAATGCTAGCAAACATTAATGAGAAAAAATGATGAAAAAAATTGAGGAAAAAACATAGAGAAGAGAACAAATAATAATAATAAATCATATGGTGTTGCTATTTACTGTAGTGACACTACAAAAAAATGAATGAGATGGATAATTTCTCCAAATATATATTTTTCATACGGAAAAAAAAATCGAATACCTATATATATTTTTAAATTTTTATTCAAACTATAATTTCTCAAAATAATTATTTATAAAATTATTGGTCTTTTTAAAAAAATAAAACATCTTTTATACTTTGTTTCGTAATTTTCAAATAAATGATTGTATTTAATCTAGTATAAGGTTTAATGGTGATCAATTTATTAGCTCTTTTATTTTTTATTTCTTATTTTTTTTAGATAAGGTAATGTTTAATTGTTCTACTATATATATACTTATCTTAACAATTTAGAATTTTTGAAAATATTGTATAGAATTTAATAATTTTGTTTAACATTAATAAAATAATGAATGAGTCTTTATTAATTTTTTGTAAAATCTTGGGAGAGGTGAGTGAAATTTACTATTTGAATATATAAGGGCAATCTTAAAATTTTTTACTCATAGTACATGACATTAACATAACGTTATCATATTCTGTTAAATAAATTAATGAAAAATTAACGGTGGGAGAATTTTAATAATAACTTCAAAAGAAAGAGTGATTTTTATAATTATTAAATTTTAAAAAAAAAATCCTTGTAATTATCAAAAATGTCAAAGAAGCGAGTATAATTTACCTAAAACTACCACACAATTAACAAGCAAATGGGTATAAATCGAGATATTTTACAGCTAGAGAGAGAGATCTGATGGGTATGTGTTGGGGCTGAAACGGGTCGGGTATGGTCGAACCGGGCCCACAAAAGAGCATTAATGGCCTAGCAGAAATGAAAAGAAAAAGATGAACAAGATCTGTGTTCCTCTTTACTATTTCCTCTCGAGCTCAATCTGGACCTCCATTGAAGAAGAATCATCTCAAGAGTAGGAGCTTTATCGAATCCACTCAATTCATTCAATTTTCCGGTATCTTCCTTCGCATTTGATTTAGCTCACACAAAACTAGATTTACAATTTCGCAGTGTTTAACATTTACGTGTTTGAATATACATTTATACATACATCTATGCATATGTATATGTATATGTATATATGGACACACTTGTGTGTATGTATATGTGGTTAAGATAGGGGGAGAATCTTTTTTGCTATGATCATATGCTTGGTGTTAGAGATGCCTAAATTATTAGTTTCAGGAGAGAGTAAATTTATGCTGATTTTGTTGGATTTTTTTTTTAAAAAAAAAAAAAAAAATTTAATTTTTTTTTGAATTTTCAGATTTGAGCTCTGGGGTGGCCTCTGTACGCTGCAGTAGAGTTCAGATCGGGTTGTTGCAGTGTATGGCATTTTTCGGGACTAGTTCGGATTTGAATTTCTGATTACAATTATTCACTTTCAAGGGGTTTTTGTTTGGATTTGTTGAAATAATTGAAACCTTGAAGAGTTTCTTAGTAGGAACTGTGAATCTAAAACCCCTTTTGGTTTCTGGGTTTTTATTTCTAGTGGGTGAAACCCTAGAAATGGTTTGAAGTTGTTGGAAGATGTGGAAATTTTTGAATAGTTTGAATTGTAGAAGAAAAATGGGAAAAACGATAGCTTTGTTCAAGTAATAAAAAGGAAAAGAATCAATGGAAGATTGGTCAAAGTATGCTCACAGTCCTGCTCATTCGGCAGTTGCACGCCGTGACTATGCTACCCTCAAAAACATTATCTCGACCCTCCCTCGGCTGGCAAAAGCCGGCGAAGTTAATACTGAAGAGGAATCTATTGCTGCCGAGCTTCAAGCTGATGCTGTATCGGCAGTTATTGATCGGCGGGATGTTCTGGGCCGTGAGACCCCTTTGCATCTTGCAGTGCGCCTAAGGGACCTGACCTCTGCTGAGATTTTAATGGCGGCGGGTGCTGACTGGAGTCTCCAGAATGAGAATGGCTGGAGTGCTCTCCAAGAAGCGGTTTGCTCCAGAGAGGAAAATATTGCTATGATCATTGCTCGGCATTACCAGCCTCTTGCCTGGGCCAAATGGTGCCGTAGGCTTCCTCGCATTGTCGCTTCTGCGACTCGAATTCGTGATTTTTACATGGAGATAACCTTCCATTTTGAGAGCTCCGTGATTCCATTCATCGGTCGCATTGCCCCATCTGACACTTATCGAATTTGGAAGCGTGGTTCCAATCTTCGTGCTGATATGACCCTTGCTGGCTTTGATGGGTTCCGAATTCAACGGTCTGATCAGACTTTCCTATTCCTTGGAGATGGATATTCTTCTGCAGATGGGAATATCTCTTTGCCTCCTGGCTCTTTGATTGTGCTTGCTCATAAAGAGAAAGAAATCACAAATGCTTTGGAGGGTGCTGGTGCTCAACCGACAGAAGCTGAAGTTGCCCACGAAGTGGCTTTGATGTCTCAAACTAACATGTATAGGCCAGGTATTGATGTCACTCAGGCTGAACTGGTTTCCCATCTAAATTGGAGGCGGCAAGAGAGGACTGAGATGGTTGGGAATTGGAAGGCCAAGGTCTATGATATGCTTCATGTGATGGTGAGTGTTAAATCAAGGCGGGTCCCTGGTGCTATGACAGATGAGGAGCTTTTTTCTGCGGATGATGATGAAAAGTTAGGACATGAAGGTGACTATGATGACGTATTGACAGCTGAAGAAAGGATGCAGTTAGATTCTGCGCTTCACATGGGAAATTCAGATGTTCTATGTGAGGATGATGAACATGGGATTCAGGATGGTCATGAAAACGGCGATTCCTTTGAAAGTTGTGAGCCCAATGGTGTTACGAAAGAGAGGAAGAGTTGGTTTGGTTGGAATAAGAAAGGTTCAAAACTTGGAGGTGATGATCCTGAGGATTCAAAAATTTTGAAGAAGTTCTCAAAGTTGGGCCCAGAAGGTAGCAGCCAGCGAGCCAATGACAGTCGAAGATCATCTTCTGACATTCCCAGGGAGGATGCAGCGGACACTAAAAAGAACAAAGATAAAAGCAGCAAGAAGAAAAAGAAGAAAGGGACCACAAGTGAATCTAAGAGTGAAAGTGAGTATAAAAAGGGTTTAAGGCCTGTTTTGTGGCTGACCTCAGATTTCCCTCTAAAGACAGAAGAACTCTTGCCTTTACTTGACATCTTAGCCAACAAAGTGAAAGCTGTTAGGAGACTGAGGGATCTTTTAACTACTAAACTACCTCATGGCACATTTCCTGTTAAGGTAGGTACCTCGCCCACTCTTTTTCTTTTTCAGTGGATGGTTGTAGTGTTTCCTGCCACTAATATAAAAATTCTATAACCATGAGTTTGAACTAGCCTTATTTTCTCATCTCTAGATGGATGGAGTAGGATCCACTGAAAATGCTCAATTTGTTCCACTACGTCTATAGGTTTGAGCATGTGGTGAGTATATTTGATGAATGTAGCAGTACTCGTGCTTGTAGAATCACCCGATGAACTAAATAAACCAAACTTGATGGGTTACTTCCAGTTTTGATATCAATAATATACTCTCTATAACCAAACCAAACCAAACCAAACGAAGCCTTAAGTCCCATCAAATGGGGTCGGCTACATGAATCCTTCTTCTCCACGCGGCCCTATCAAAGGCCATTTCATTGGTCAAATTAAGTAGATTCATATCTCTATTTATAACGCTAGTCAACGTTAATCTAGGCCTACCTCGTCCCCTAACACTTCCATCTACCGTTACAGCATCGCATCTCTTCACTACTGCCTCTGTTGGTCTCCGTTGAATATGACCAAACCATCTCAAACGATTCTCTTTCAACTTATCTTCTATCGGTGCTACTCCTACCCATTCCCGAATACACTCATTCCTATTCCTAATCCTGTCCTGTCTAGTCTTACCACACATTCACCTTAGCATCCTCATCTCAGCCACACTTATCTTATCTACATGTTGTTTCTTAGTTGCCCAACACTCCGTCCCATACAACATAGCTGGTCCAGAAGGTAGCAGCCAGCGAGCCAATGACAGTCGAAGATCATCTTCTGACATTCCCAGGGAGGATGCAGCGGACACTAAAAAGAACAAAGATAAAAGCAGCAAGAAGAAAAAGAAGAAAGGGACCACAAGTGAATCTAAGAGTGAAAGTGAGTATAAAAAGGGTTTAAGGCCTGTTTTGTGGCTGACCTCAGATTTCCCTCTAAAGACAGAAGAACTCTTGCCTTTACTTGACATCTTAGCCAACAAAGTGAAAGCTGTTAGGAGACTGAGGGATCTTTTAACTACTAAACTACCTCATGGCACATTTCCTGTTAAGGTAGGTACCTCGCCCACTCTTTTTCTTTTTCAGTGGATGGTTGTAGTGTTTCCTGCCACTAATATAAAAATTCTATAACCATGAGTTTGAACTAGCCTTATTTTCTCATCTCTAGATGGATGGAGTAGGATCCACTGAAAATGCTCAATTTGTTCCACTACGTCTATAGGTTTGAGCATGTGGTGAGTATATTTGATGAATGTAGCAGTACTCGTGCTTGTAGAATCACCCGATGAACTAAATGAACCATACTTGATGGGTTACTTCCAGTTTTGATATCAATAATATGCTCTCTATAATGAATTAAAATCCAAAGGAAATATGAGTTGCAACTTTAAGTTGGCTAACATCAGTTAAGGTATATGAGTAGGACATATGAATAGTAGTTGTCTAGTATTCGTTGTGCTTGATATAATTTCTCAAACAAAATATTGAGGAACATGTCTTGGATTTAGTTTTCTCTATGTAGAAATAATTTTGGGCTTATGCATATGAATATATTCCTGCCACTTTTCATTGTTGTGATGTGTAGCTTAAACCTTGTTTTTATGTATCTTTGGCCTTTGACCTTTGCCCTCTATCTTTCATGTAGTTTTTTGCTTTCGTTGATTATTAATGAATTTTTTTGGCCATACCCTTACACAAATATTATTTTTGTTTCTCTGTGTTGTATGAACAATTGCCATTGTATTTCAGATCTGAATATAATTCATTGGGTTTGTCAGAACATGTTTTATACGCTGCTCATGCAATTGTGGCTATACTGTAAAACCTTACACCTTCAGAATTATTAGCAATAGGCCTTGAATTGGTACATTTTTTCTTTCTGTGTGGTATGAACAATTGCCATTGTGTTTTAGATTTGAATATGCTTCATCTAATTTTCCAGAACATGATCCATTACCCTGATAATGTGAATGTGGCTAGACTATAGAAACCTTTACACATCTTGAATAATCAGCATCTGCCTTGGGGGCTGACTGTTTAAATTCTAGTTCTCTAGAAAATTATGAATATAGGTAAAAAAAATAGTAAAGAAAAAAAAAATGAAAAAAAGAAAAAGAAGATATTGTATTGACATTATGGTTCTCAAACTGAATTATGTTCTTCTCTGTAGCAAAAAAGAATCCTCACAACCAGCCCTTTGTCCTGACCTATGAAGCACCGACACTTTTCAAAATAAGTGCTGTATCCATGTCGGACACATTGACACTTTGGGGACACGTATGGGACACACCACATGGCGTGTCCCCTTATTTAATTAATTTATTTTCAGGGGATATACCGAGGATACTTCGGGGACACACTAGGGACATGACAAGTTGCCTTTTTCTCAATTTTAGTTAGTGTTTTTGATGAATGTCAAATGTCGAATGTATATTATTTTTTTTCTTAAATTTAAATACTTAATAGATCATTCATAAAAAAAGATATAAACTGTAAGTGTAAAGTTTTTTTTGAATAAAAAAAATAAAATTAGAATTAGTTTTTGTTAATATTGATTGTTTGTGGATGCAATATTAATCTAGATAGCAAATAAAAATATATGAAACCATATTTTATTGCCGTGTCCGTGTCCGTGTCCGTGTCCCCATATTTTTGAAATCGCCATGTCCCCATATCCGCATCCGTGTCTGTGTCTACATCCGTATCAGTGTCCGTGCTACTTAGGTCCTTATGAGTTGTGTTTTTACCTTGACAGCATGAAATCTCTTCTTTACCTCATTTATCATTTTCCTTCATTACTCTTCCTTTTCAAACAATAACTCCTGTATTTTACAAACTGGTTGATAAATCTTGTTGTAAGATTATTCGCCTTTGTGTTCTTACTAGCTTTCTAAAGTGGGTTACAGTTCTGCTCTAAGGAAGACTTCAAAGCGGTTAATATTTGTGTAACCCCTTCTAAATTCCAGTTATGCTTTAGGAAGCTTGCAAAGTGGTTGGTATTTGTTTTACCTCTCCTAAACTCCTGGCTGAGAAACCTTGATATAGCAGTTTACTCTGTGCAGACACATTAGTCTCTATGACCCTAGTTTGCTCATGGAGTTTTGGATCTCTGGTAATGTTGCAGGCACTGTTATCATAGTAGAGAGGATGAGTGTTTGTGTGGAAAGGTAAAGCACTCTGATGCAGTATGTAGATGTTCAATATTTAGCTCACGCGCAACAACTTTCCATCACCCTGAGTGCTTAATTTATGATTTAGGCCTTGTTTGTCATAACCTAAAAAAGTCAAAAAGTTAAAAAGTCACTATCCTATTTAAGTCACATCATCTTATTTAAGTCACATCACCTCTCTATCACATCACTTCAAACCTAACCCATATTTCATAAAAAGTCAAAAAGTACACTTATTTAGATCATCCCAAACGGCCCCTAATTAATTAATATCCTGTAATGTTTAGTATTTATTTATTTATTATTATTGTTTTTCTTATTTTATTAAGGTTTTGAGTTTCTTATTTTATTACGGTGGTTAGCTTATAAATAGGAGGCTTGGCATAGTATTAGGCAGGCTTGAATTAATGAAATTGAGTGTTGTTTAAGGCTATGGTCTTTGTGTGATTTGGGGAGTGGCCCTTGCCTATGTTCTACATCACACGTGTGGAAATAATATTACGAGTTGAATGAAGGGAGCTTGGGTGAGGGAAAGGGGGTTTGGGTGTTCAGAGGTTGGGTATTTTCAACAAAACTCTATTGTGCAAGTGACTGAAGAGATTTGTATGTGAGAGGGATATATTTTGGATAATCGTGGAGACAACCAAGAATCGTATTTCTTGGGGTGATTGTTTTGGAAGTGACCATATCACATGTGTGGGCTTTGGAAGGAGTATCCATAAAAAATGGGATGCCCTTTTCAAATTTGCTAGTTTCAAGGCAGGGAGGGGTGATAGGGCGAAGTTTTAGTGATACAAATGGTGTGGAGGTGATGAATTGGAGAGATCCTTTCCTTTTCTTTTTCTTGTTGATTCGGATAAAGAATGCTCTGATGGTGGATTATATTTGGGGTGGAGGTAATGATATTTTCTGGATGTTGGATTGAGAAGGAATGTGCAAATTTGGGAAGTGGAGTAGTTGACTGATTTGCTCAACATGCTTTATGGGATTAGGGGTGTTGGGAATGGTCAAGATTTGTTGTGTGTTTGTGGAATCCGGCCTATGAGAAGATCCTTTTGATTGATAATCTAATTAGGAGGTGACAAATTATTATAAATTGGTGATGCTTTTGCAAGAGTGATGGCGAATCGGTCCTCATTTGCTTACCCTAATGTGGATAGCAATTTGTAGGGGTTGGTTTTTGGGACCTTTTGTGATGGAGTCTATGTTTCATAGAGATATGGCAGGGGTTATGCTTGGTGGTGGGGAGAAAGGGTAGGGAAGTGAAGCGAAGGTAGATGGCATGATGTCTGGCTTCTTTGTGTTTAATGTGGCTTTTATGGGGGAAGTGAAACAGGAGGAAATGGTGTAGAGGAGACTTTGCATAGGCTTAAGAGCTTCTTTTAGGCTATTGTTGGATGTTAGAAAAGTTTTTTCAAACCATGATCAAACTATAGATTTGTTGATTCTATTACTTTTGAGAATCTATAGGCGTCTTTTTTTTTTGTTTTTTTGTTGTTGTTGTCGTTGTCGTCTTTTGAGTGTATATGCTTCTTTTGCTAGAGTGGCTAAGGTTAGGGTGATTCTATTTACAACATAAAAACATCTCGTTTCATTTTTTATTACAATTTTATTCCTACTTAAATTTATTAAAAATAATCGAACTCAAAAAATCCAAAACCCTAATTTCTCATTACACCCACCACTTCCCCACCCTCTCTTCCAGTCCACCACCACTGTTGATGCTCACAGCCACCCCTCCACACCCCATTGGTAGCCGCCGCCACCCCCAACTCCTCCCCTCTTTTGCTACCCCCTTTTTTCCTCCTCCAACTCCTACCTTGAACCCTAAATGTGAAAACCGCAGATCTGTGGATAAGGGGTTGCAGTGGGAACAGGGCTGGTTAGGGGGTCATAGTGGGAGTTGAGATGTTTTAAAGCCATTATTTTCTCAGTGACTATGGTATAGTGATTGTAGGCTGATGAATCAAAGATGGGTTAACTGGTGATGATAGTGTTGACATTATATATACACACGTGTGTGTGCGTGAGAGAGAGAAAGAGAGAGAGAGAGAGCATTGTCTGTGCTGTACCGAATCATGATTCATCTTTTCTGACATAATTACTTTTGGTGGATTGCACAGAAAGTTGCCATCCACTTAGTAGTTTATAGAAGGCTATTGAAACTCTTCTTTTTGGAAAAGTTTTTTTATTTTTGTTTATGTATCCGCTTGTCTTAATTTGACTAACGAAATGGCCTTTGATAGGGCTGCGTGGAGAAGAATGATTCATGTAACCGATTCCATTTGATGGGACTTAAGGCTTGGTTTGGTTTGGTTATGTATCCGCTTGTTTCCTTTTTGAAGTAAAATAAGAGAGTGGAAATCATGGACAGATACTAATGATACTAATCACCTTGAAGTGGTTATCTACTTCTATGATTGCTTCATGCTCATTATGGTTGTTTGTTTCCTATAGGTATTTTTAATGGAAACTGCTTTTAGAAAACTGTACTCATCTGCTCTTAAAAACTACACATCTGGAGCTTGGTTTACCCCAATTGTACAAAAATTTTAAAAATGATTACAGTTTTTTGAAGTTCACGCACTCTGAAGTAGCTTGAAATGTGAAATATAGCTTGCATATGTGAAAATTAGGTGGCACCAACTCAGAGACACAGAAACTTGCTCCAACCTGCTTTAGATACAAATGCCAGCTTATGAATCTACAAATATTATTCGGTTTAAAGAGGAAGTCTTCTGTTTACACTTTTAATTTGGAAGTGTTTTGATTATATGTTTTACACATTTTTTGAAACAATAATTGAGAAATTGATCTTGCAATCGTCAAGTTAGATCCATAGCATATGGTTACTTCTGTTTATTTTCTGTTGACCCATCTCAAATTTGTGTGTGTGTGTGTGTGTCTCTATTTCACCTTTCAAAAACTGAAAAAATTTGTTCATTGTCGCAGAGACATTTAGGGCCATGTTCCTGATGAACATGTCTTTATTTTCTAAAAATTGAACTTGTAAATAATCCTTGCTTCAATTGCAACCATAATGGTTCGGAAGGTAGCTTAAGTGGCCTATGTACTCCGGCAAAGCATAAATATGCATCTTTCAATCCAAACAGATTTGATAAGATTTATCTGTAATAATATCATTTCTACTGCATTCTAGCATGGGCTTTTAGACTAAAATAATTCCTGTTTTCCGCAACTGCAGCTTGCTATTCCTATTGTTCCAACCATTAGGGTTCTCATTACTTTTACAAAGTTTGAGGAGCTTCAACCAATGGAGGAGTTCTCAACCCCTCCCTCCAGTCCCATACATTTTGAAGACGCCAAGGCCAAGGAATCCGAGGGGTCCACATCATGGATGTCATGGATGAAAGGAAGCCGAGGTGGGCAATCAAGCGACGGTGAAAGCCGCAGCTTCAGGGATGATACTGACCCTTTTAACATACCATCCGACTATTCATGGGTCGATGCCAATGAGAAGAAGCGCCGAATGAAGGCCAAGAAAGCCAAAAGCAAGAAACATAGGAAACAACTATCGGCAACTCGAAGCGGGGATGGTGGGCGCGAGGATTTGGAAGAATAGCGGCAGGAGACATCCGAATTGATACGTTGCTGCTTCGGGATCATTTGCAAGAAGGAGATGTGGTAAAAAGACCATTCCTTGCATTCTGGCCTTTATTCTTGTGCCCTTTAGATTTGGATGCGATAGAATGACTTGTTAGGGGATTGATTGTTTCTTGTTTCCAAAGAAGAAGATCTCTATCTTCGTTCCATTGTTGTATTGTTATGTGACGTGAAATTTGGGAGGAACAAAATATTCTTGTGTTCTTTTTTAATAGCTTGTCTTTGTTCTAGTTTTTCTCAAACCTCATCTCCATGTATCTACTACTATATCTGTTTTACATTTTTGATTGGATTATTCTTCTTAATCCTCAGACTAGTTAAGCATCTTAATTCATAAATGTGCGGTTGCGGCTCTAGGAATTTTTCTTACGCGGTGGGTCATTCTAACTTTTCTTACCCATAGAATTGAATTACATCAAAGGAACCTCCATTATTTTGTGTGTATCTAACCAGTGGATTTAAACAACAACCACGAATTGAGTTGAGTTATAGGCGTGGTTCTGGCTATATGGACTACATCTTTTGACGTAATTGGTTATATTCCTTACCTAAGGACCAAATTGGTTGTTTGGATGGTAAAAATTTGTAACAGGGGTATCTGATGCTGTTCCTGTTACGATATGGCCTGATGGGATCATTTAAACTTTTTTGATGGTGTTATTTTAAGGGGTATTGACCCAGAAATTCTAAAATTATAATTAGAGTAAATTACAAATACACATCTTGAAATTTGTTTAAAGTATAGATTGTGTTCTGTGATTTAAGAAATTACAAATATCTTATTGTCAGAATTTTTTATTTAACAGACTTAATTAAAAAAATAAAATTCATAATTACTCTTCTATAGAATAATAAAATTACCCAAATGATGGGTAAATTACACTCACCTTCCTTGAGGTTCCTGACAAATACAGGGATCTCCTCTGTAATTTGAATAATTACATAAACCTCCCCTATTTTATCTGATATTTTTCAGATTCTCTCCTTTTGTAACTTCTGTTAGCATAGATAACAGAAAATGCTGAGGTAATCAAAGATAATCCCAAAAATGCCAATAATGCCCTTAGGGCTCTTGAACCCAGCTATATATACCCAAGGCAATATCTCATCTTCAGAACCAAGCACAACACACAGAACTGAAAGCAGATAAAGCACAAGACAGAGCTCCACAACCAAGCACAAGACAGAGCTCCACAACCAAGCACAACACAGCTCCACAACCAAGCACAACACAGGTATGCTACCATTCACATTTACATTAAGTAATTATTTAAAAAAAAAATTAAAAAAAAAAATCAAGCCCACACTCCACAGTCCAACCCAAGTCCCAAATAGAGCAAAGTCAAGCACAATAATGCAATATATGTTTTAAAAATGCATTATAACTCTCATATTCCATAAAATGTAGGATCATATGGATATGTCATCATTAAGTAACGGAGGGGGGGTGATCAAGTATAGAAGTAAGATTGTGGGAGCAAAGCAGCAATTAAAGTCATTGAATCAGAGAAAAACAAAGGCAAATTGTATTATTTATGCCCACATAGGAAATGCTCTTTCTGGGACCGGTGCAAACCAGTAAACTCATTTGTTGGAGGACAAATGATGATGGAAGACACTGAAACTACTGTTAACAGACACACTCTACCCTATGAAGAAGATACCACTACAGTGAATTTAATGAACCAATAGGGGCTATGCAAACAAGGACGCAAGTACTTGAAGCAAACATGGGGTTTATGAAGATAGTAATGATCATGAATGTTGTATTATGTTTGATTTCCTTGATGGTTGCCCTGAAAATGTAATAGGAATTGCTAGGACTTTAAAGCTTTTGTAATGCTTTGTAAGAATGTTTTGTAATGGACCTTATGTGATCATCAATATATAAGAATGATGCAGTTGTTTGACTATACATCATTCCATTACATTCCCAAAATATAAATGTAAACACCAAGTGTGCACTATACATCATTCCATTACATTTTGTACTAGCTGCTATGTCCACTAGAAAAATACAAAAAGTGGAACATTGTCTTCATGGTCCATGCTTACTATTTCATGTCCACTACAAAAATACAAAAAGTGGAACATGATCTTCACTAATTGTGCACTAAAGCAATATGTATTATATACCTTAAAGTTATGATAAGTATTTGTACCAAAAACATCGTCATCATCATAGCTAATTCATTTGCAAGAAACAATGAAACAAACAAAAAGAACCACTGTTGGATGCATGCTATGTGAAAAAAAAAAAAAAAAAAACTTACATGTGCATGCTAAAGTAATGTAATAGGAAGACTAAACAAATATGAAAAACTTATACTCAAACATGCTTGGCATTGGCCTTACCCCTGCCTCTTCCAGTTGATTTTTCCCTTCCAGTTGAAGTGCCCCTCCTAGATGAAGTGCCTCTTCCAGATGAACTGCCCCTTCCAACTAAATTTCCCCTCACAGAACCTCTACCCCTATCAACAGTGATGTCATTGCCCCTACTAGCAGTTCTTTCACTACTACTAGCTCCACCCCTTACTGGACCTCTTTGGCAGGCTCTCCTATTGTGTCCAAATTGCATGCACTAGTTGCATCTCAAGGTACTAGACCTCTTGCTTTGACTTGTTCTAGCTGGAGGCTCATGAGCAGCCCTCTTCCTAGCATTCCTTGGCCTTCCTAGCAATCTTTTTAGAGGTGGAGGTTGTAAAGGGTCCCCTGGTATAAGTGTCCACTTGGTATGGTCTAAGATGGGATGTATTATCCCACAATTAGCTGTCAAGTAAGTTTGCTTAGAGTAGTATGGGTGGAAAAAATCTTCTAAGGTCAATCTATTATGAGAAATTGCAGCCACAACATGTTTGTATGGGACCCTAGAAATTTCCCACTCTCTACATACACAAGTCATCATGCCAAGATGGACAAAGTGATTCACCCCTTCACTATCCTTCACCTCATACTCCTGACCTCCTGCATACTCTACTCTACAATATCTTGACCATTTCAGTGTGACCTGAAGTTGTTTCTTAATGTTCAAAGTGACATTAGACTTCCATTTTAGAGCCTTCTAATATCTCATGTGCAACTTACCCATCAACTTGCACCTTATGTTCTCCAACATGGTTAAAATAGGCTAACATCTCATATTTCCCAACCAATTGTTGAAGGACTCTGTCATGTTATTTGTGATGTGATAAGTCCTTATTCTACCATCAAATGCATGCCTAGCCCTTTCTTCAATTGGCACTTTTTGCAACCATATGAAAGCCTCATTTGATATATCCTTGATGGCTGGCATAGCCTGCTCATACTCCCTCTGATTATATGCCCTTGCTGCCTTCTAGAATTGCTTCCTCAACATCAATTCAGGAAATTTTGCTTTAAAATTGTTGAATAAGTGCATGCAACATCTTCTATGAGTAACCTCCAGTATAATGTCACTCACAATCTTGTCAAGGCCCTATACACACAAACAATGAAACATTAATAACCATTACAAGTATACAATTAGAGGATAATGCATTATGTAAATTAATTAGTTGTTCAACAAGTAAGTAAATTACCTTTTGCTGATCAGACATTACCTTTTGCTGATCAGACATGATGGTCTATGGCCTAGAAGGCTGTGCATCTTGTATGATTGTTCTCAAGTTCTCCAAAAAGAATGTCTAGTTGTCCTTACATTCACCCTTCACTACTGCTAATGCTAATGGAAACAAACCATTATTTCCATCTAAGGCAACTGTTGAAATTAACACTCCAACATAGGGACCCTTCAAGTGACAACCATCCACCCCTATGAAGGGCTTACATCCATCAATAAACCCTTTTTTCATTGCCTCAAATGATATGAAGATTCTTTGGAACAATGGATATTGAGGAATAGGAGTAGGGTCTGGTTCTTCTTCATCTTCTGAGACTGGGGTAGGAGGCAATCCATAATTTATGACAGCTAAGCTACTAGGGTTTGTTTTCTTAATTTCCTCAACATATGTTGGCAACAACACATACTCGCTGCCATGATCACCCTCTAGCTCCTCCTTGCACTTCCTTTTGGCTCTATACAATTGCATTCTTGAGGCCTCAATCCCATAAAGTTTGTTAAGCTTCACTAGCATAGTGTCTAACCCCATGTGTGGATTCTCCTTAAAACTATCAACCAATTTCTTGGCAATCTAAGTTGATGTTGCTTCACTATTTAGGTTCATCCTACTACATGTGTGATTAGGTACCAAGGTTTTGATCTTGTAAGTGGTCCCATCTGGAAGAGGAGATGCATGAATTCTCCAAGGGCATCCTTCAGCAACACAATGGGCTGTCACTCTGGCTTTCTCATTTTTGTCCCTAACTATCTTGAAACCAGCCTGAACTGTGTAGTCCCTCAATCTAGCTCTGAAGCTATGCACATCTGGAAAAATCATTCCATTTTCCAGTATAACTTCTCTTTCTTGATTCAAATATGGCTTTTTCCCACTGTAAGTACTATCAAATTGGTTGCCTGGATACCTTATCTCTTCATCATCCATCTAGTCTATTTCACCATCAAATTCATCATCACTACTAGAATATCTTATTTCATCATCACCAGATTGGTAATCACTAAGTCCATTATCTTCATTAGACTTTTCATTATCCTCATCACTCAAACTGACAGTGCCATTTGATTCATGTTCACTATCAACACTTGCATTCCAATCCCTATCCTCATCACTAAACCCATACACATTGTCCTCATTGTACTCTTCATTTACCTCTACAGTGTGCACTCCATGAACTCCACTATTTCCATCTCCACCATTGTTATCTCCAACATCATTTCTACCTCCACCATCTTCTTTTCCAATACAATATGCAATATCTACATATAAGTTAATTGTTTACTTCTACCTTGCACATAAAATATATCCAACAGATCAAGATCATTTTCTATTAATCTTCTATTCTCAGTACCAGGCATATCATAATGTAATGTGATAGCTATTGCTTCACTATAATCAATGTGAGAGAGGACTGTTTTAGTCACATCCTTCAAGGCATCAATGTAGCAATACTTATTTGGGTCAATATCATATATTCTGCCCACTTTGTCTTTGTAGTTGATGATTAAATCAAAATAAGAGAATGCAGCCATACTGTGATCATAATGAGTAACAGTTAATTATAAAAATACTACTCCATTCAACAATTACTCATCCAAATGTAACAAAATTGAACTAATATCAGGTTACATCTAAGAAAATTCATAAGTAGCAGAAATAAAAGAAGAAAGCCCCAACTTCATAACAGAAAGAAATAAAAGCCCCAAATTTTGTAAATAAACCAAAATCCCTAATTTTCAATATTTCTTATGAGATCAAGAAAAGAAAACTATTTCTAACAATAAATTAACAATTAGAAAATATAGAATGAGAAAAAAAAACAAACTAAATTATAGTATTTCTGACAAAAAATTAACAAAATAAACAAAAACTTTAAATTCATACAATCAGAAAATTACAACACCCCAAAATCTAACAAAAGTCCTAAATTACAATATTATTATACTAATATTTAACAAATCCCTATTTCTGAATGAAAAAATTTGGAAAAAAACATAAAAACCCTAATTGTATATTTTCGAATCAAACCCTTTAGACAAACATTTCATAAACCAAACCTATACAACCAGAAATTCCGTAAAAATGAAGAAAAACCAAACATAATCATAAACCCTAAACTCAAAAATAACATAATCGAAGTATAAAAAGTTCGAAGTCTTACCTGGAAGCCCTAAACAACTTGTCACCAATCAATCTCTTTTACATTTTGTCCTAGCAACGGTGATCGAACCAAATCCAGGAAATTCTTCATTGTTTCTTCACTTCGATCACTCTTCTTCTAAGATTTCATCTCCCTCTCTCTCTCTCTCTCTCTCTCTCTCTCTCTCTTCTTTCTCTCAGAAATTCGACTGTATTTCGGAATAGAGAGTGATTTAGGGATTTAGGCTAGAAAGGGTGTTAGACTTATTTATTTTGATGATTTATTTAATTATGTTTTAATTTATTTGAAAGAGAAAAATAGAATCCAAAATTTATTTTGATGATTTATTTAATTATGTTTTAAATCCAAAATTTATTTTGATGATTTATTTAATTATGTTTTAATTTATTTGAAATAGAAAAATAGAATCAAAATTTATTTTGTCCCATTATTTCTCACCTAAACCTTTATCCTAAATGTTATTAGAATGTATTTAATATTTGATTAAATCAGGAGTTCAAATAGCTCAAAATAGAGGTTCAAACAACCCAGTATAGCAGCAGTTCAAAAGGTTCAAAATGTTTAAGTGGAAGGTATTCAAATTTGTAATGATGGAGTTGAAGATATTCAAATTATTAATGATGGAGTACAACGGTTATAAACGGCTATAAATTCAAATGAATACAACGGCTATAAACGGCTATAAATGACTATAAGTTTCATTATATATACCAAAGCCTCTAATGTAAACAAGTTACAAAAAAAATCAAAAAATATTCTTTGATCTATAATCACTCACATCTATTATCTGAAAAATTCTTTGAGAAGTGTTCTTTAATTTTTGTTTACATCCTCTCTCAGAAATTATACATTGAGCCTTATAGCATTAAGCTCATCTTTCCTGTGTGAGATTTACAGAAAAATTAAAGCTTTATTTTATATATCTATCTTTGAGAGATAATGCTTGCAGCTTTCTGTGAAAGCAAAAACACATTCTTTTCAATCTTGTAAGAGTGTAGTACACTCAGTGTTCTTGACTTAGAAAGTCTGTATAAAATTCGTGGAGGATTGCTTCATTTGTAAAGAGGTTGCTAGCACCACCGTGAAGCTAGAGCATAGTGAAAAATCTCAAGTGAAGCTTGAGGGGTGGACGTAGGCCGAGTTAAAGCCGATTCACTATAAATTTGTTTGTCTGTCTCTCCCTTATCTCTTTATTTTATTTAAATTGCTGTAGTTATATTTCACATTTTCATTGTGCTAAAATCATTAACTGACATAATTGTTAGAACACTTGTTTTAATTAATTTTATTTCATTAACTATATTTATCTATTGTGCTAGTCATAATTTTTATTAGGGTATTATTAATTTTAATTGTAAAAACCTAATTCACCCCCATCTTAGGTTGTTTTTTAGGTAACAAAGGGTATTGTTGTCTTTTCGTGCTCAAAAGCAAGGGTAATAAGGTCATTTAGTATATGCAACTAATGCCGTTTGTGTCAATTTGACGGGATGGGGGAATCTGAAAAATGTCAGGTAAAGTAAGGGAGGTTTATGCAATTATTCAAACCACAGGGGAGGTTCTTGTATTTGTCAGAAACCTCATGGGAGGTGAATGTAATTTACCCCCTAAATTATTAATTGAAATATATTTCTAACACTATTAAAAACTATTAATAGATTTAATGATTTATTAATAAAATGGATAATTTGTTATGAAATTAGAAATTTCAGGGAGTGTAATGTAATTTTTAAAACTTCAGTGAGTGATTCATATTTTTATCAAATTTTAAGGGGTGTATTTGTAATTTATCCTTATAACTAATAGACTAATTAGTCCTACAATTATTTTAAGGGCAAATTATCTACACCTCCCTTGAGGTTTAATGAAATTACAGATTCCCCTTGAGGTTTCAAAAATTTCATCTCGCCCAATCACAATTAACGCCGTTAACGAATATCATAAATTGACTAAAATGCCCTTTTGACTAATAAGGGAAAATTACCTACACTCCCTTAAGGTTTAGCTAAATTACAGATTCCCTCCTGAGGTTTAGCTAAATTATCATTTTTAAATAAGTTATGAAATGCAAAATTAAAATGGAAATACACTTATCATATTACAAAAAATTAAGGTTTTAGAGACCAAAATTTAGGGACAAAATTATTTTAGGGGACCAATTATTTTTGTTGCGAAAATTGTTGTTATTATATTTTTAGTAACAAAAATTGAACATTAGTGATCAATTATTATCTTTTTGATATCAATTTTTTTGTCTCAAAAAATAAACCATTTTGAGACCAAATTATTTTGTTCCTAAAATTCTATTTATTATTGACATTTTCAAAATTTTATTGCTAAAAGTTTATTTTTGACTTTTTAGGGTGACCTTTTAGCGACTATCTTCACGACAATAGAAATTAGTCTCTAAATGTCTTTTGCAACAAAATTTTCATTTTTAGAGATCAAAAAAATTGATCTCTAAAACTCTTATATGTTTTACTGTCAGATGGTGAAAATATCATAAAATTAACAAATAATTAAATAAGTTAAAAATACAAAAAATGGCTTGTCAAAAAATTCTTAGAATATGTTTGGTTTGTTTTTTAGAAATTTATTTTTAAAAAATTAAAAATTAATTTGGTTAAGAAATAAAAAATAAAAAATTATTATTAATTTTATATAATTTTATTTTTGAGTGGTTAGAAATAATTTTTACAAATTAAATATATTTTTTCATATTTATTTTTATAAAATTAGGTTTTTTTATTTTAAATTCTTTAATTTTTTTCTAAACAACAAATCAAACACGGTTCCAAAAACTTAATTTTTCCCCCCCCATCTAACGTAATTCTTTTGTAAATTTTGTTGATTTATCAAAGGAATTTCAGCAGGGGCAATATCGTTTATCAATTTATATTTTGGTAATGCCAACTAACCATTCTTAACGTTTAGTTAACGGCAGTGGTTAAATTGTTATGCAAATATAAACTTTGGGGGCAGGTTGTAATTTCTGAAGCATCAAGAGGAAATCTGTAATTTAGCTAAATCTCAAGGGAGGTGTAGGTAATTTGCCCTTATTTTAATGAACACATAAGTTTTTATTTATGTAAATTGACATATTCACCACTATTTTTATGATATGATCAATTTGAAGTGTGTCTCTTTAATTTTATTTGTTCATATCACATTTTAAAAAAATACACTAAAGATTTTTATAGTCACATTGCTAGTTTTTTTTTTTTTTTTTTTTTAATAATATAAAGATAGGATAATGTAAGCCAAACGACACTTACAGAAGAGTCTATCCAACAAAGAACATCCACCAAACAAAGTAAAAATAATCAAAGAAGCACCAAGGAGATAATTATGAAAATATCTAGACTCAAAGTTCATACTGCTAAGCAAAGGTCGATCATAATAGTTCGACAATAGAGTAAGTTTAGGATAAAATTACAAAGTTACAACAACAGAGAAGATAAGTTTCAAATACAGTACCGATGGACTGCTAGATACACAACCAAACGCCAAACAAACAAGATGAAATAGAAAGAAAAAAATCCTCAGTCCCAACATGCCATAGACGACAGCGGATTTGACAAATCTGGTAGAGATGGTTTGTGGTGGCAGTAGATCTGGTGGCGGTGTGGTGGCGGCGGCGGCGCTGACGTGAGGTGGAAGAGAAGGGAGATGGCGGATCCGATAAGGCCACGACTGGGGAAGTTGGAGAGAAAGGGAAGAGGAGAAACATAGATTCCACCATGAGGGGAATGAAACCTCACAAGGA